TAATTGGAAGGAGTTGTCTTCAATCTCTGAGATTCTTTCTTCTGTTTGATCTACCCTGTTCTTGAGGCTTTTCATGGTGTTTTGTGGTTCCCTGAATAAGTCCTTCATTTCCAGGAGATCGCTTTGATTTTTCTTTAATATTTCAATTTCTTTAGTGAATTTTTCTTCCAAGTCCTGGATTTTTTTTGTGGTTTCTTTGTGTTGGTTATCCATTTTTTCTTGCATATCATTCAGTTTTCTTACAATCCATGTTTGAAATTCTTCTTCCGTCATTTTAGTGTTCTTAGTATGGTTAATGTCAATTGCTGGGGAGCTGTTGTTCGTCTTTGGGGGTGTGCTTTCCGTTTGAGTCTTCATACTTCCAGAGTTCTTTCACTGGTTCCTTCCCATCTGGATCAGTTGTTCCTTCTTGCCTTAGATTTTTGTTTGGATAATGACACACCTGTTTAGTCTCTGAGCCAGTAGGTGGTGTTTGTGGGTGAGATTCGACCACACCCTTTATGATGAATCAGTAGATGCAGTAAAAGGGTGTGCAGGATCACCTCCCTGTCAGTAGGTGGCACTTACTGGGAGGAGCAAGCTGCAGTGTTGTTTTTGGGTCCTTTAACCAGCTCTTGTTCCTCTGGAGAGGCCCTCTTGTGCCTCGGGTGGTGGGTGGGGCCCTGGGACTTCCAGGTGTGTCCTCATTCTCCACCTCAGTTGGGGCAGGACCAGGAGTGAGTCTGGGTGGGGCTGGGTTGGGTAAGCCTGCCCTCAGGCTCCACAACTGCTGTTAGCAGGGGTCAAAGATCTGCTCTTTGTTTCTGTGCAGAGCTGCCGGGAGGGGCTGAAATAGCTCCACTCAGCTGAAAGTCTGGGCTTGGGGGGTGGGGCTGTCCAAGACCCACATTCTGGAGCAGGTCTCGCTCCCCTCCACTCTCCCCTTCTCCGTGGCCTCTCCAAGGCTTCTGCCAGCAAGCGGGACCTCAGGCCAATGGATCTCCCCTGGCTGTGACGTGGGCGGGAGGTTCCCTACCCAGGATCGCAGCCTGAGCTGGGTGCACAGCCCTCTTTTGGGAGGA